GGATGGGGGGCTGTGGGGGCTGGGGAAGCAGGCAGAGCCAGCAGGGGTCCACCCCATGGTCCCTTCCTCCAGCCCCCCAACCCCTTACTTAACAGCCACTGGAGCCCAGGTTCAGTTCCCTACTAGCACACTGCCTAGGGAGGCAGCATGCTTCAGCACCAGGGTGAGGGGCCAACCATAGAGACACTCTGGCAGCCAGAGCATCTCTGTGGAGGACTCGGCTTCCGACTGCCTCAGGGCATGCTTTGGGACCATGCCCTGCCTCGCATTTTTTGTTTATGGGTTTTTTTTTTGAACCCTGGATATCCAGAGTTCTAATTTTACCTCCGCACTGCAAATTTGCCTTGTGCCTGCCCTGCAAACATATTTGTGTTCCTGCACATGCTTCTTGCAGCATCTCAAAGGAGTTTGAGACTCCGCAAGGGGCATGTGCGGGCTCATTTGGACACGCCCTTAGTGTCCCAATTGTGAGTAAAATCCAAGATTTTACAGTTTTTCCTTTTTTCTAGGAAGATTCACACTTAAATGCTTACCTATTCTGAAAAAAGAAAGTTCCAGGGCCCCATTATTGTAAGAACTGCACAAACTCAAGCAATATTGATGGACAAACAGTCTATGCTACCTTCTGATATATTGAATTTCCATCAGTTAGGCTACAATTCTTCAGTCAGTCTTCCTCTATCAGGGTTTGCACTGTAAGCTCAATAGGACTTGTGCTCCTAAATCTCACCTGTCTGTGTCTAAACATAGGCTTAAAGGCGTAACTTTAGGATCCAATTTTTTAGAGGACCCTGTCCTCTAAAAAAAAGTTAGTGAACTTTAATATATTAAAAATCTAATTTTTTGTTGTTAATGGAACCATTTTATTCTGCAGACAGAGATTCCATATCACTTATCCACATCCTTCATTTTAAGCTACAAACAGCCAACCTGGGCTAATAGAACTATTTGTGTGACTAAAGTTATAGACTGGCTTAAGTGGTTAGAAGATCAGAGCTTTAACTTTTAAATGTTTCATTTTGGAGGGCAGTTTTGTAAAAAATTGAAATGAGATATCTATCAGTAGTGGCATTTAAAAATAGTATTTATATTTCAATTGATTACACATTTTAATCTAACACTGAAGTAGCAGTAACATTTTAAAATTAAGTTCACAAAGCTTCAGTGTGATATAAAATCACTCCACCCTGCTAAACAGGGCAGTGTCTGCTCCAACATACACCAAGTTATGCTTTTTTCCAGGATTTCTCAAAGTGCTAAATACAACTTTATAGTTTGAGAACTTCCATTGTGAGCTCTTAAAGTCAGTGACAAAATTCCTTTTGAGTTCAATGGAAAAAGAAGTGAGCCCTGTATTATTACCCAAGAGGTAGCATTGCAGTAAAACAGTAAACTGGAAGTTTGCAAGTTTTAATAGGTAGAAAAATTAAAAACAAAACAAAACACTTTGTGACAGAACTTTCTGTAAAAGCCCTTTTAACACTGTCTGTTTTAGAGGTATTTGTTACTAATTTAATACTTGGTAGCCTCAGGCAATAAGATGAAGAAGGTTTAAATGTATATACCCTGTCCAAAAGTCACCTGGAATCCCACCCCTTCCCTCAAACATTCCACATCTCTCCAGCCAGTCAGCCATGGAAACAGCAATGTACACCACTCAGCTTACCAGTAGCTGTATTTGTGACTCCATTCACTGTCCCTTCCACATCTGTCTCATCCTCAGCATAGCTCATCATTAAGGCTCGCTGGCGATTTGTCAGCCTCCTGCAAGTCAGAACAAAGAACCACTACCATGAGTCACCATTCAGTGTATCTATGACTGTCTTTGCAACCTAACCTGAACTTCCCACAAAGCAGCGCAAGCTAACATTAGGTCTGTGCTAACAGCAGCTGCCCCTGGAGATATTCAGGGAAAGCCAACAACCATCTTAAAAGAGCTCAGCTAACAAAGAACTTCAGTGTGGCAAGAAAGACAGTAAATCACCATATGTCATCCAATTGCAAGTGGCTAACACCTTAGTGTTGAAAAGACTAATCAATCCAGAAGCTATACTTGAATATCAAATTAGCAGAGAAGCACTTGAGAACTGGAGCTTCCTTCTGAATGTGACAGTTACATAGGAGATTTATGAAAACTGGTTATTATGGGATGGGGTAGTTAATTGATATCAGCGATCATGGGAATTATATCTTTTGATAGTTAAAGTAATCTCTACACCTACCCCAAAGGGGAAGAAAAAAGGAGATGCATCTTCTGTTTGGTATCAAAAACTTCTATTGCCTTCTGGATATCAAACTCCAAAGCCACATGTCCAACAAATTCTTGGCTGACAAAAGTCCTATGTATTGCACTGAACTGATTTAAAAAACCTCTCACTACTTCAAAGCACACGTACAGCAAAAATATAGGAGATTAGAGGAAACCTGAAAACCAGGGGTAAGAAAAAAAAAGAAAATCCAGTCTGATTTGTAAGATTGCATGTGGACCACACAATTCCAGGGAGGCTGTTGCATCTTTCAGATCCTACTCATCACGCAGGACACAGTAACATGCACCAGATTAATAAGTGGATCTTTCAGATGACATTAATGTTCACTCAGAGCATCCAGCTTGCTGGATAGAAGACCTTAATGCATAACAAGTCGAAACATTGTAATGGTAATAAACCAAAACAGGTATTAACAGAGCTAACTAATACAGTAAGTCTAAACCCTGCAGCTTTGTAGCTGAAACAGTCTTCCTATGCAATAAGAGATAAAGGAAATAGATATAGATTTATTCACTTATTATACTGTCTAGGGAATTCTCAAAACATACACCATAAAGCAGTACGAAACTATCACTGAAAATGCCTCCAGGCAACATGTATTGCGTAGTAACCTGGCAGGTTTCTATGAAATCCTAATAATCCTTCTACTTACTTAGGCACTCTGATCTTTATGTGAATGTAGTGGTCTCCATAACCATAACTGTTAAGCCGAGGAATGCCTTTCTCATTCATTCGAATCTTCTGATGTGGCTGTATACCAGGGGGTATCTGTGAATAAAAAGACTTCCTAAGTTTATTCTTGTTCTGCAAAAACAAGATGTACACATGTAAACCTATAAATTAATCAAGCTCTTTTGCCAGCAATCTGTGAAGTAACAAAGGAAAAACTTGTTTCTATGTTTAGATACCTGGAGGCTCTGAGATCCCACTCAGCAGCAAAGAATAGTCATTCAATACAAAAAAATTGAATTGAACAATCTACTGGTAGGTGCAATTCAGTAAATTTAGTGCACAAGCTAGTACCAGTCCTTGAAGAAGGATAGTCTATAGTTCTTGTAACAGAAGAGGATTGTATTCCCATGCCCTCTACTAACTCCCTGTGACAACATGTGAAAACAATCTCTGAACCTCACTTTTGAGAAGCAAGAGCCTTGAATAAATAAAGCTATACAATATAAAATGTATAAGTGACCATCCTTGTATATAAGCAGGAAGCCAGAGCTTTCAGAAAAGCTAGGAGGAAGATAGCTGTGCCCAGGAGAATCTTAAATACTTAGCAAAAAACAAGACTCTCCCCAGCTACGGATCAACCCAGCTCTGAGTGTTAGACCTTCCCAGAAGTACTTTTTCTTTTCATGAGCTTGTAGAGCCCTTCTTCTGAACTACTGTGCAGGGACTAAGAAAAGGAAACAAAACCAAATACAATCCTTGCATGCCGATTGCCAGATTATAAGCAGCCCATCTTGGTATTAGTAGCTTTGGGGAATTTGCTCTTTTTTTTTAAACAAACAAGAATAAATAAAAGATGACCTCTTGCTGTTTCAAAATCAGGTAACCCACATTTCTACCCACTGGTACCACATACCGTGATATTGATGGTCTCATAAAGGCCCTGACATCTTGCAGTACCTCCAAGAAGAGCCTGTGCTACTGAGATAAAGAGGTCTGAGTGGATATCTGCTCCCTCTCTCCTGAATACAGGACTTCTTTGAACCTAAAAGCAAACATTAACTATTCATTTAACTCTTGAACAGTGTGTAAAAAACATGAATTATTCCTCAACAAGATTATTTTGCTGTAAGCAGGTATCAATAACTTGGGAAAAATTCCAGAATTTCCAATCTGAACCCAGTGTTACTCTAGAAAAGGGGTGCTTAGCCCCTGGCCTGCAGGGTTACCCATGGGTTCAGAAATTTGTCAGCTGGGGAGCAACAGCACCATTCCCTGGTTGCCAAGTTTCCAAACCCACAGGGAGTTTGGGCTCTGTGCACTGGATTGGGTGTCTGCTCCAGTGTTCAGGGGAAACAGTGGGGGGGCCCTAGGACCCAATCCCAGCACACAGGGAGGAGGGGATGACATCCAGCCTAGGGCATGGGAGGGGGGCAATACCAGGCCCCCAGGGCCCAATCCACATGTACAGGGCAGGGAGGGAGTGATACTGGGTCCCAGGGCCAAAAGGATGAGCAGCACTACCCTAGAACCCTCCTCTCAAAGCATAGCAGTGCACTTCTTCTAGGCTAAAACATATTTCACCATGCTATGGGAAAGGTGTTCTACCATCTCTGAAAATTGGAAGGAATAAAGCCATTTCAGTTTGTAACAAGATTCCCCTTAACCCAGGGGTGTCAAACTGACTTGGCCCTACAGGGGCCAGAACCACATTGCGGGGCTTCTCAGGAGCTAGACCCACATCTGACAGCATCAGGGAGCCGTGGGGGGCAGGGGGTCAATGCTGCTGTTGCTTGCTCATTCCACCACCAAAACATCCCCAGCAAGGCTTTGTACCCTGGATTTCAGTGGAAGCCCCACTCCTGCTCACTTCACGCCCAAATTTATGGAGCCCTATGGGGTCAGATGACATGGCTCAGTGGGCTGGATCTGACCCACGAACCACATCCTTGACATCCCAGCCTTAATCCAATTTTACACTGAAAGGAATTTGCCAGTGGTTTAAATACCCCCTAGACTGAAGAGGATCCAATAGAAGACAAGCAGTGTACAATGAAGCAGTATACATACCCTGAAAGTAATGAATATTTCTTTCTTTCCCACAGGCATTCGAACAGTCTGGCCATCTTCCACACCTGCCATTGGAACAAGGACATGAATACGACACCATTTTCTGATACTGTCCTTTACATCTCACCTCCTGCCTTCTTATTCAAACCAATGCCTCCACTCCCACAACTCCTTGAGGGGCTATCACCACAACACAGCTTCTATCCATCAAATCCCAGCTAAAGATCTACCGTGGTAATTCTTTGCACAAGAAGCTGTGATACCACTGTTGGATATGCAGTCAAAGGATGGGATACGCCAAGAACACTAACAGCACCACTAGACCAGCTCGTTGATTCAATTCATATTGAATTCTTTTGCATTTCTCTAAGGGCTGGTGACTGGTAATGAACCAAGGGACAGTGATGTATCCACATGTATCCAAACACTCTAGCAAAGGTAAAGACTATGCAAGCTGCTGCCCAGCCAATGTGATCTCTCTAAAGGTGAAAGAGGAAATCAGTTTCATCACTCATTCAACTTCTACCAAGACTACCAAGTTGGAAGGAGTTTTCTGTGACCCAAGATAAGACAACTAAAGAAACTGAGATGCCCCCAAATCTCACTGCATATCAGTTTGGCTTAAACACATAAGTGAATTAGGCACTTTTGAAAATTTTGCCCATAGGCACACATCTGGAAGGTATTACAGTGAAATCAATTAGACAAATATTTGACAGGGATGGCTTAGCCAAGTTTGATCCTGAATTGAGCACGGAGTTAGACTAGACAAACTTCTGAGATACCTTCCAACCCTACTTTTCTCTGATTCTATGGATTTGTGGTTTTCACAAAGGTGCCTAGCAATGCACTGGTAACTTTTTTTTTTTTTTT